TGAGCTGCCTCCTCCAACAGCCGGCCTTTGGCATCATCTTTACAGTGGCCGTTTCTTGTGTCTTGGCCAAAACCATCACCGTGGTCGTGGCTTTCATGGCCACCAAACCAGGATCCAACATGAAGAAATGGCTGGGAAGAAGGACAGCAAACTGCATTGTGCTCTCTTGCTCTTTGGGTCAAGCAGGAATTTGTTCTGTATGGTTAGGAACATCTCCCCCGTTCCCAGCATTTGACATGCATTCGTTGACTGAAGAGATTATCCAATTATGTAACGGAGGCTCTGTTATCATGTTTTACCTTGTCCTGAGCTATATGGGCGTTTTGTCCCTCATCTGCTTCATGTTGGCCTTCTTAGCCAGAAAACTTCCAGACACTTTTAATGAGGCCAAGTTCATCACCTTCAGCATGGTGGTCTTCTGCAGTGTTTGGGTGTCCTTTGTTCCCACCTATTTGAGCACCAAGGGGAAACAAATGGTCGCTGTGGAGATCTTCTCTATCTTAGCTTCCAGTGCGGGTCTCTTGATCTGCATCTTTGCTCCCAAGATTTACATTATTCTCTTGAGGCCTGAATTGAACACCAAGGAGCAGCTTAGAAGGTGGAAAAAAGAATGAAATCAGTTGACTTTTCTAGCATACATACATACTTCCCAAGAGATAATGGACAAGATCTAGGGTTGCTCACTCTCAGTCGTTCTCACTACTTTCTGAAAACAAGATGAGAAGTCATTGGGAGTTTTGTGGTATGTTGTCACCATTATAATAGTGACATGCGGCTCTCTGTTTTCTTTGCTTCATTTGCAGAGAACGCTGTTTGGGTCCATGAGCGCTGCTCAGCCATAATAATGGACTGAACAGAAGCAAATTTGAAACCAAAACCAGAAAAGATGGAGATCCCTTTTCTTTCAGGTCAATCGGACTGATTAGAGCGAAATCTATCTGGCCCGGATGGGATTACATTCCCCCGGAAAGATCGGGTTTGAAGTTTGAGTGCGCTCCTGTACTCGCCTCTCTCCACAGCATCTGAAACATCATCTGTGGACAAAAGCACCTTTTATGAACTTCAATTGATTGTCCAATTGCGCCTGTATCTTGACAAAAAATGCCTGATAACATGGGTTAATGCATTGCAAATCTCAAAATAGTCTGCTGAAATGCTCAATATAGGGCCTGTAACAACCTCCTTCTACCTCACAAAGGGGCCGTTACGTCACTCTCAATCACTCTTGTTTCCACTGCCACCAACCATTCCCTCAAATGAGTAGCTTCAGGCCAATGTATGATTTAAAAATAAAACTCAGTTTTATTGTGTACAAACAAAAAGGAATGGTAAATCACTTGAATATAAATAATACTTTAATCACTATAATAATATCACTATCACACACAGACTCACACAGACTCTCACAAAGTAGCACAGTTATTATCCAATATTATCACCAGCTGCTTCAAATAATTGGGGCTCAGTTCTTAGAAGAAGACAATGTCTTATTTCAGCCACAGGAAGATCAGCTTCACTATTATCAGCTTCTGTTGAGAGCTCTGCTGGTGTTGCTATGACAACAGACTCCTCCCTTGGTGGAGTTATCTGTCCCTTCTGAATACAGTATACAGATTTAGTTTTGTTTAAATTCATTTTCTGAGGTAAAATTTCTTTATTTTCTTTAGCTTTATAACATTGGGAAGCAATATGGCCTTCTGTATTCATGTCCTTGCGCTAACTCAAATTTTCTGAGGTCTGTTGAATCTTCTCTAGAGGACCTTTCCTCTTGAGCTGAGGAAAATATTTCCTCTCCCCCACTAATCTCTTCATCTGAACTAGCTGCCATTTCAGATGGTCTTGGTTCAGCTTTTCTACTTCCGGTTAAGGGCATTTTATTTCACAAAAGGATCTTATATCAATTTTCAAGCCTTGGTTTAAAAGTCACTTTTTTCCTGTGCTACTGAGTCTGTGCTATAAAGTTGCAGCCTTATCAAGCACTGTCAGCTAGCAACTGTAACTAGGCTTCTGCCCCTTAAGCTGGGTCTCTTGCCAAACAAAGTTTACTTTATTCTTCTGCCTCTGGCACCAATCTTGACTTCATACAGCTCTACCTTGACCTAGGTTTAGCTGTTCAAATGGAGTTCCCTCAGCTTTGCTGCCCTTGGCCTTCGCTCTGTCCCCTCAGAGTTTCCCTAACTCTGGACACGCTAGCCAAACCACCACAGCCTTTGCTTTGGGCCACTCCACACACACAAAATGGACTCCACAGAGCTTCCCTGTCTCAGTTTTCAACCTGAAGTTTCAGCGCCCCTCTACTAGACTTTGCTCCCCTTGAGCCAAGCCCTAGAAGGTTACCCACGCTCTCCACTTCAGATGACCCTAACTGAAGACCCCTGCTCTGGGCACGTTTTTTGCCAAGGCTTCACTGGAATACTCGCATCCCATCAGCTGGACACCAATTTTATTGTAACAACCTCCTTCTGCCTCACAAAGGGGCCGTTACGTCACTCTCAATCACTCTTGTTTCCACTGCCACCAACCATTCCCTCAAATGAGTAGCTTCAGACCAATGTATGATTTAAAAATCATACATTTAAAAATCATAACTCCCTATCTCATAACCCTATCTCATACCCTATCTTACAGCCCTATCTGAATCTCTCATACCATTCACTCCCCTTATATACCACAGCTCCACCCCTTATGTCCCACCCTCCGTCACACCATTGGTAGATGACTCACAGCTTCAGCAGTGACGGACAGGTGAGGTCATAGCTGTATGTAACAGGGCCGGCCTTCAAAACAAAAGGAAAACTCCAGCAGGTTAAAAACGAGTCAGCTAGACTAGTAGGTTTGATCACATGTCTGAACTGGAAGGCAAGGGAACAGTTTGATGGCCTACAAGGTCAGGTGCTTTCAGTGGCTCCTGGCTCACGGCGTGGCCTGATGCTTTTGGTCGTTTGGAGTGCCACAGGGGTTGACTTAATTTTGGGGGTATTACGAAATGTAGTGCAATGCACTTTTTCTCCCAGCTTGCCATATACCAACACAAATTTGAGTTTTAGAGGTAAAGCTAAGGAAGCCAGCCTGAATGCAGAGAAATTAGGGTTATCAGGAAACAAAAGGCGATTGTGGCGTGGGGCAAAGTGTCCCGTTCATGGACATTTACATGCAGAAGCTCTTTACTTTACTTTTCCATCACAGAGTCTACATTTTTGCAGATTTTGACTGTTCAGGGGCCTTTGGCCCAATTGTCTCTTAATACTGAGAGTAACATTAGTTTTTACTGTGGGTTAGATTACTACTCTCACAAGATTATACTCCTCCCTATTTTTTTCCTTTTATTTATTCCTTACAAACACACCCACAACCCAGTGATTTTGCTCCTATGTTTTGCATCTTTCCTTCTCATTTTCCCATCTGGATTATTCTGGATCAATTCCCTTCCATATTCCCCATAGTCTGCAAGAATATGGTATTTGGAATAGGTAGCTGTATGTCTTCCTTTCTGACGCTTTAGGCCAAACAGCTGGAAAACCAGGAGCTTCAGCAAGAGAGCTGGTGGAAGTTTAGGGGCAAATATAGTGTTTTATAAAGGGCTAACTGTGGCTGGTAATGCATAATCAAAATTTGGTCTGAAACTTTAAATCAGGTTGGTCTGCATTGAATGTTTGTTTCGCCATTGAATTGCATTGTGTTAGAAATTCATTGATTTTCCTTTGACCTATTTTATATTGTTCCTTCATGTTGTGGATCTTATTCTCCACCGACCTGCTTTGACTGAAATAAATCTTCAAATTAATTGCAACTGTGGGTGGCCTCCTGTGATCTCTGCTTACACCTTTTGTGCACCGGTGCAAAGAAAGGGCCCCATAGCCAGCCAGCCAGCCAGCCAGCAGGATAGATAGATAGGTAGATAGATAGACAGACAGACAGACAGACAGACAGACAGACAGACAGATAGATAGATAGATAGATAGATAGATAGATAGATAGATAGATAGATAGATAGATAGATAGATAGATAGATAGATAGATAGATAGATAGATAGATAGATAGATAGATGGAAGATTTAGAGAGAGGCAAAAAGGGACCGCAGAAGGGTGGCACTCCTGGGGGTGGGCGCTACTACTCTGAGGACTCAACATAAGCTACCCCCCCAGCGAATAAAGGGATTGAATGGATATTGTAGATTAATTAATTAATTAATTAAATCAATAAATGAATAAATAAATAAATAAATAAAATATAGCAATATTAATAATGATAGACAGACAGACAGACAGACAGACAGACAGATAGATAGATAGATAGATAGATAGATAGATAGATAGATAGATAGATAGATAGATAGATAGATAGATAGATAGATACTGTAGATAGATAGATACTGTAGATAGATAGATACAGTGGTGCCCTCGCTATACGGAATCATCACTAAGCGGGTAGGGGAAACTTCGTTTAATGCGTTCCAATACGTTTGTTACTTACCCGTTCAGCGAGGATTCCAGGTGCTGGCAGCCATTTTCGCGCCTTCGCTAAGCGAGGGCAGGGCGCGAAAACGGCTTCCGGCAGCC